GCTTTCTTTCTTTCTGTCTTTCTTACTACTGTCTTTCTGTCTGTCTGTCTGTCTGTCTGTCTGTCTGTCTGTCCTGTCTGTCTGTCTGTCTGTCTGTCTGTCTGTCTGTCTGTCCTGTCTGTCTGCTTGTCTATATGTATGTATGCGTGCATTTATGCATGCATGTATGTACGTACGTACGCACGGATGTGTGTATGTGTGTAAATGCGTATGTGTGTATGTGTGTATGCGTGCATGTATGTATGCATCTGCATATGGTATGTATGTATGTATGTATGTATGTATGTATGTATGTATTTATGTATTTATGTTTTTATGTTTTTATGTGTTTATGTATGTCACTCATGCTATCCATGGCATACGCGCCAGCTTCACATGCATACACGTTCCGTCATGTATCTGTTTGTTGATGTCTCACTGTAGCTGTTCATGTTCTACGTGGACCGTGTGGCACAATAAGGTCTGCTTTGTCGCACGTCGTCGTGTCGCCCACCTGGCCGTCGTGATTCGCTCGCCACACCCAAGGCATTTCCTTCTTTACCAGTTCTGCGTCTGCTGCGAAAGAGATGTGGAGACCTTGCGCTTCAGCGTAGAAGTGGAGAGGCGTGTTGTGCAGCTGTGCGCTGCGCAGACGAATCTGTTAAGCATTTTGATCTGTAGGCCACTGGTGCCCCCGGCATTGGGAACGGCGAGACAAAAGGTTAGCCGAAGGCTCGCAACTGCTTTTCCACACGAAACGGTCACTAGTCTGTACAAGCTGAAGACTGCCCGCGTTAAAGGAAGTCAAGGCTGAAAGTGCCGTCCCGACCTGCGAGGCCGCAGCAACCCGATCAGGAGGGGGCAGGTGCTGCAGAGGCACGGTGGTCGCCCGTCGCAGCAACTGAAGAGCAACTGAGTTTGCATTGCAGGAGAAACCGTCCGGGCCTGGTGGTGAGGCAGGATCAGTTTCAGCCATAGCCCGCTCAAGAACTGTTGGAGCCATTTGCTCGAGGACTTGTCCGAAGAGGAGATTCAGCGCTTGGTTGAGGCAGACTTGCTGCTTGCTTAGCCACGAGCCATTAGCTGAAATTCAACAGGAGAAGCTCCGGGAGACTGAGGCACGGTTGGAGGCACCTTCTCAAGATGCTTCGGCATGCTTCCGGTTCCAATGGCGAGGTGTTTAAGATTTGTCGAATGAAAAGGCCAAGCTGGCTGCTAGAGAGCAGCAATTCATGGAACGCTTGGTGGCCAACTTGGCTGCACATGATTGCTTGTCCGAGCTGCACGCATACATGCGATATGACCTGAGGCGAGCAAATAACCGCTTGCAGGGCGTCTGCATGCCTTTCCGCAGGAAAGGACCGTGTTTCACCAGACGAAGAGCAAGTGCGTGAGCCCTAAAAGCACCCACCAAATTTACTATACAGAGAATGCCATGAGCCGCAGCCAACATTTTCATCGAGTGTGTGCATGTGACAGCACGGTGAGTTTGATGCACGGTTTGCTTTCTCTTGAAGTCCAGGAACATGTCAAACGCAGCAATGTTGACCTTCGAGTACAGGTCTTGCAAGCTAGGCAGCCGGGTGCAATCGTTTGCTGTTCGGCGACGGACTGTTCTTTCCTCAGGAGTGTGGTTTTCGTGTTTTTGGGAGGGTTGGCAGAAGGAAGGAAGCAGGGACGGAAGGATGAAGGAACACAACAAGAAAAGAAGGATGGAGGACAGGAGGGAAGGAACGAGAAGAAAGAAAGACATAAAGAAATGAAGCAAAGAACTAGCGAACAGTTCAACGACAAGAAAGAACGAACACAAGAAAGGACGGAGGTACTGATGAGAGAAAGACCGAAAGACACAAAGAGCTCAGGTGGCTTACTTGGGTTTAAGGCTTTGTGGTTGACGTTTAGGGTTTTAGTGCTTGGTTTTTCAAGAGTTGAAAAGAGTCAAGAGTCAACAAAGCGCCGTCGACTTTATGGATGCAAGACAGGGAGGAAAGAAGGCCAGAGGAACACAGGAAAGAAGGGAGAAGGAAGGGAGGAAGGAAGACTACAAAAATTGCGAAAGCGAGGAAGAACGAAGGAACGAAGGAGTAGCCCGCTAGCTCGCTGCAAAATACGACCGAGTAAATGAGCGACGCTTACCATGCTTCCGACCTCCAACACAAAAACACAACACACCACACGAACTTGAAACAAACACATAAGAATACAGAGCAATCATTCGTTGCTCAGCAGCTCATGCGAGTCCAGTTTGCCTACTTAGGCCTACTTACCGAATTTGTGATCGGCCAGTCCTCGTCGGTAATCCGGAGGCTAACTCAGATGTCGAAGGCATGTGCCATTTCATTTAGACATGTGCCATGTGTGGTTGCAGCTTTGATATGACGTTTGCTGAAGCATCCCTGTCGAGCTGCCTGTGCCGAAGCATGCCCCTCAACACGGCCGCAGATTTTTTTTCAGATTTTGCAGCCGTAGGGGTTAGACATGTCCTCAGACAGCCAAGCGAGAAACCACGAAGTGCATGAAGTTCACCGCATCCCAACGACTTCGTGGACCTACCCTAGTTTGGTTGTTCTCACAAGTTATGAATTTAAGCCTTCTGTAGCAGGTCAACAGATGCTTGTACCGGGTGTACGATGGTTGTATACTCTATCAGATGTCAAGCTGGGTAAGTAAGAAAGTCGAAACATTGTGCTCGACAGCCGGCTGTGCATCGAAATGGAACTTACGGAGGACGAGTCCGCGTGGAGTCTTGTCGCATTGACAGCCATCGTGGTCGTTTTGGATGCGTGTGTGTGTGTGTATGTGTGTGCCCTCTATATGTTCCTTTCACATCCGCCTTGCAGGATGAACGAGTGCTGCGAGGTCTGCTCCAGCTCAGCACCTAAATGCTGGCAATGCATTGACGACCTGTCGTTTAAACGCTCTTGGGGCCGCAGCTTGTCGTCGTTCGTGGCCGTCGATTTTTTCGTTTTCGTCCCGGGGGCTTTGTTGACCCTGGCAACACAAACCACTCAGGTGCCCCAAATTAGAGAAAGGGGCAGCAGCCCTCCTTGGTGCCCGCATGTGTCGGCGTGCAGGCACATATCCCACTCGGGCCGCATAGGCTTTCGGCAAAGTGGCGACCATAGTTTGGGGATGTAAGTGTCAGACCAAGCGCAACTCCAGGACAGTGTGAGCACAAGCTCCGCATGGAGCTTCGCCCCGTTCAGGCAAGCGGATGTGTTGACCTCGACCGGCACTTTCGTCTTGCCAGCTCTTGACCAGCGATTCAACCAGTGCAATCTGCTAGCCGGTCCCTTCACCATCTCTGCAAGCGGCCTACGGATTGCGATCCACGCAAGCCCACGTCTTCGTCAACATCCTTGTCGTATGCTAGTGGCTGAGATCACACGCAGAGCCAGCGACGTGACAGCGCCTTCGGACTCAGCCCTGGTGCCCAAATCCGTCATTTCGCCCGTCCTTTGAGCTCTGTCCTCGCCTGGACTTCGAGGGATTGGTTGGTGACGACCACTAGCTGTTGGTTGTTGTGGGTTCGTCAATGCTACATACTACAAAACTAGTACAAGTGCTGCTGCTGCAGCTGCTACGACTGCAAGACGACGACGACTCTTACCACCTGCTAACTACTACTACTACGACGACGACAACTACTACTACTACTGCTACTACTGCCACTACTACTCTACTACTACTACTACTACTACTACTACTACTGCTACTACTGCCACTACTATACTACTACTACTACTACTACTACTACTACTACTACCACTACTACTACTACTACTACTACTACTACTACTACTAGTA